TCCGGCGATGGCGACCACATGCAGGCTCAGTGTGGCGGCGCTAGCGTTCCCGAGCGGGGAGGGCTCGGCAAGGCGGTGCGTGGGCTCGTGCGCGTGTCCCAGTGAGTTTAGTGAGTCATGAAGCCAACGTCTTGGCCTTGGGCTCTCCCAGGTTGGGAGAACGCGGTGGCGACCATGGCAGGCTCGTCGGCATCAGGGCAACAGAGGGAGGCAAGGCTAAAGGCTCACCATCGGGCTTGTGGTGCAGCCGGTCAAAGTGCCGGGTTGCAGAGGCAGGGCACGGCGAGGTTGTCGGGCTCCAGCGAGTCGTCCGCGTTGTAGACGATGTCGCTACCATATTGGAGACGGAGTCGCGGGCACGACGTCGAGGTGGTGGCGTTCCGGCTCGGAGCAGAGGATGACGACATGGAGGGCGACGCCTTTGGCTTCACAGATCGGCGTCACGGTCATGGCTGCACTGCTGCTCCCGTCCTGTTCATGGCGCCGTCCACGATGAGGAGCGGCAACGCGAGCAGCGACGGCACTGGCAAGGGGCGGGCTCCTGGCGGTGGCTTGGTCTCGACGCAGAGCTGGAAGGCGGTGCTGCCGTGGTGTACTGGCGTGGCACGATGGAAGGAGGTGGTGGGGATGCGTCATGGCGAGGTCAGCGTGGTGGACGCCATAGATGGAGAAGGAGCTCACGGACGCAGTGGAGGTCGAGCTCGGCGTGGCTGTGGACGACATCGCCATGGCGAGGCGTCGGCGCGGCAATCTTGAGCTCGAGGTGGAGGACGGTGGCGCGCGTCGCGCGTCGTCGGCTTGGCGAGACTGTGGTGGTGGCGAGGCCGGCTGTGGCGGGTGGAACGACACGGCGAGGTGCCGGCGGCGGGGTTGCGGAACATGGAGAGGCGAGCAGCGGCTTGGGTTCTTATAGCACGTGGTGCTAGGGCTTGGCGGCAGTCTCGGCGTCGACGTCGTTGATGTGACAGCCGGGACACGCGACACGACCGCGCGCGCAAGCGGCGATGATGCAGACGTCGAGGTGCTGTCGCGGTGTGGCGCGTGGCTTCTCCAGGTCACTGATCCGTGAGAGGGGTTGACGGGCCACTGGTGTGGTGCCACGTCGGTTGTGTGGGGCCACGGGTGGAGCGCGAGTGTAGGGTCACGACACCGGCGTCGGGTGGTGTCTGACCTTGCGCTCGCTTTCCTTCCTTGCGGCGGCGGTGGTGGGGAGCTGCCCTAGTCTAGGGTTGGCAAGGGCGCTGGGGGCAAAAGGCTGGGCCAAGGCACTAGTGGGCCACGCGGGTGGCGGCGAGCTAGCTGGGTCATGGTGCTGCACGAGATGGGCCTTGCGATTGGGCACTAATTGTATATACGTCTATATTATACACGTATAGAGCCTAGCATGGCGGTGTCACGTTGTTGCCTCCTACAGCTTTGCATGTACCTTGCGTGTTCCTAGTTTTAGGAGAACTAGAGAAGTAGCAGGATGCTCACGTGATAAGTACATGAGCACAGTGGCATGCATATATGTTCGTGCATGAGCTAGGCAGGAAACAAGGAGGGGTTGAGGGGAAAAGAAAAGGATCCCCCCCTCTATGAATTATGGCTTATGGAATTTTTTGGAAGGGATTTCGAGGAAGGTCGGGAGGAACTCGGAAGAGGTGCGAGAATGGACAAGAGAGTTGCTACGGATTGTGCACTCCAACACAAAAATCTAAACCGACTAAAGAATACCGGCAAACCCCTATGAGCATTTCTACATGATTGCAACAATTTATTTATAAATTGTTCTTAGTTTGACCTAGCAACTACATGCTTCACACATTGCAGGAAAAATTTTAAAAGTTCATATTTTTGGCTTCTCCAAAAACCCGGTTTGTTACACTTGCGGTGCCCGACGTGCGGGCTTGGCGGGTGATGCCAATTAGCCGCCGAACCACCAAGTGAGCAGTCGACACAACGGGGACGTAGCTTGGTGGCAACCAAGTGAGCCTCGGGAGAAAATCATCGTGTCAACATTGTCTTCATCTTTCTCGGTGGTTTGCATTCCGCGCAACACAAATTTGTATTACTTTCATTTACATTGTGCTTGTGTAGTTGCTCTTGTGACTGATTTAGCTTTAGTAGCTTGCTAGTTACTTTCTTGCTTGTGTAACATAGAAGTAGCTCCCTTGCGTAGCTAATTTAGTTTTAGTAACCTTGTTAATTACATTGCTTAGTTTGTGTAGCTAAGTGATTTGTGCTCTCTAATTTGGCTTTTGTAATATTGTTATTGAGCATTGCTAGTGAGTTTAGAAGCTTCGTGCTTTTGCATTACTAGCATGTGTGGTAGCTCCTTAGTTGTCAAAGTACTGGTACATAGGTTTGTGTGGCTTTGCTTTAGAATTAATTAGGTGAGCTCTAACTAGCCTGACATATTTGTTGTCTAATTAGGATCTTTATAAGGTGCTTGTAAACTTAGAGAGTTGTAGTCTTGGCTAAACCGATAGTTTTAATTTTGCATTTGTTTCAGTTAGCCAACACAATTAATTTTAGAAAGAACTATTCACACTGCTCTAATCCGCCATGTCAACACTGAAGCTTCCTCCCTGCGGCAACATTTTACGCCAAATCACCCAGTTGTGCCTCTCCCCCTCTGACCAACAGTGCATCATAGCGCTTGCAGGGTTCGGTTGCCTGACATCTCATTTGTCCATGTGCACATCCTGACGCGATTTGGCCAAGGGCAACCTCTTGCCGCCAAGCGCCTAGGTACAACTTACCTCATCCTTTGACCTCCCTCTCCCCTGCCCCCTTCGTTGCTTGACTTGGGAACTATAATTTGAGGATTGGATTTGAGAAGATGTGAATTTCGTAGGAGTCGGTCGTATGGCCGTAACTGTGAAGGCCAAGAGAAGGGTAGTGTGATTTTAACTTTTGAGTGGAGGAAGAGCAATTTTACTACTGCAATAGACAGAAATAGATCTCTAGTCAATGGCACTTAATTTAATGTATTTTGACGATAGGAAGGAAATGCAAATTTCAAAAAGTGGCATCTAACATGTTTTTTATGTTGAGATGCACGCATAAGAGTTGTTTTAAATTTAGTCAAATCAATTTTGGGCTAACGTGATGTTTTATGCTTACAAGCCATTCTACTAGAACTATGCAATCTGTCAGAAATATCCTTGTTGTGAGACAAATGACTTGAACTGAAGTATCTTGGTTTACCTACACCATAAGTAGAATGAAATGGGATTTTTTTTACCCATTGAAGATCATTTAGTTTTGAAACTCACAATTACCTTGCGAGTCCCTTGGCAAACATTCATAGGCTCAATAGTGATCAAGGCAGATCATTGATTGAAATTGAAACATCATGTACCGCCCGGTTTATCAGTTCAATCTATACATATCTAGCGATCAAGTGATACATGACTTGCTATTAAGAAAGAACACTTGGAGCTTATGGTTATTACTGAAACATCAAAGTCATATCATTTTTAACGGATTACTCCCTCCGTCTCTACATAACTGTTGTCTTTTGTTTCTGTGTCGTAAGTTTGACTAGATTTGTAAAAAATACGTGCAATATTTTTATCTCTAAATAAATTTATTACGAAAATAGATTCAACGATCTATCTAATGATATTAATTATGTACCATGAATATTAATATTTTTAATATAAAATTGATCAAAGTTATTTTTCGGAAAGCAAGAACAACAGCTATTTAGGGACGAAGGAAGTAGGCGTAATTTAACCAGTTAGGCTTTTTTGTGGTGAGCTCTCCAACTTAACATGTAGCTCCTACTTAGGACTAATTAAAATTTTAGTATTAGCTGTTGCGCTCATTGATAATAAGACGACTATTGTGACTTGAGAGCATATTTAGCTGGCAACTAATAAGTTTCTCAAACTTAACCTTAGGCAATCACGTTTATATTTTAGTCCGTATTTGGTTGCTGCCACAATTTAGTCCTTGTGACTTCTTAACGTGTTTACTTAACTTATTGTCGTTGACTCATTTCTTTAACTCGCCTCATATGATGTGGCCATTTATCTTTAAAAAACCTTGGCACGACAAGTTATCCGTTTAGTAGAAGGCGTGGCAAAATAAATATAGCTAAATAAATATATCTTCCCTCGATCTCAAAATCTCTCAGGCTCATTTGGATCCTGAAATTGAATTCATTCTAATAAATTATAATTTAGTCACATATTAGTTAAGCTAATATAATTGGATATATGAAATATATTTATATACTATTGTTAGCAATGCAAGAGATATGCTTATATGTTTCATTTTTATTATAGGGAAGCGAGTTGAAGAGCTTGCTATAAGTTAGAAAGTAGAAACATAACACGGTGATCTATAGAATTAATTTTTATTTTTTCACCCTATAAATCTAAGATAAATTTATATGTGAACTTTGAAAAGTTTTGAAATTTCAAATTCTAAGCCAAATAACCTAATCCATTAAGTAGATTCTAATTCCTCCAAAATAAAGAATCTAAACGGCCCCTCAACTAATTTATGTAGCCATTCCGATGTAACTATAGTTATGTCTTTTTCTCCTCTCACATATTGCTGTAGCAGAAGCAAGACACACAACTTTACTGCTGCCAGCTACGGATCCGTATATACAGGTCAGGATACAGTACGCGATCCGTAGCTGCCGTCCCTAGCTTTTTGACTTTTGATTGAGAGAGAGGAAAACAACACGAAAGCCTCGTTAGAAACGCCACGTCACCGCCACCAGTGACCGTGACCCCCACGCAATGGTCACCATGAGCAAATCCACGTGCGCAATCAATCCTAATCCCTGTGTCATACTACTACTCCCCGTATATAGCCACTCGCACCCCCTCCGCGCCACGTTTCCTATTTCTTCTCTTGCACTCGGATCCTTTGCGCCACCGAGACGAGACTCGCAAATTCTTCCATCCCTTTCTTTTACCATTTCCCTTGCCCGTCCGGTTTGATCTCACCGCCCAAATAATACGGACGGTGGACGGAGGCGCCACCCAGACCAACCCATGGACGTCCTGAGATTCGTGCCCGGCGGCGTCAGGCCGCCGCCGCTGCCAACCTTCGCGGCGCCGGTGTCCGCCACGCCTGCTCCCTCGCCGCACGCCGCTGCCGCTGCCGCTTCCCCGGCCCCCGGGTTCCACTCCCCGCTGCTGGGCCTGTGGCCGCGCCGCCGCGGTGGGGGCGCCGAGAATGCCCTGGGCGCCGCCGCGGCTGCTGAGGCGGCGGCGGGCGTCGAGGAGGCGAGGGATCATCGCCGTCGCAGGCGGGCGGTGGACGCGGAGGACGGCAGGGGCGGCGGCGGCAACTGGGTGCTGCAGATACTGCGCGTGCAGTCGTCGTCGTCGTCGTCGTCGTCGTCGGCGCCGTCGCCGTCGCGCGACGAGGGGCCGGACGGGAGTAGTAGCCAGCGGTGCGTGGGGAGGTGCGGCGCCGGACCGGACACGGACAGCGAGGAAGGCTGCTCGGTGGCTGACGCGGAGGAGGAGCTCGATCGGGCCGCGTTTTCGAGGTTGCTGCGGAAGGTGTCGCTCGCGGAGGCCAAGTTGTACTCCAGGATGTCCGGGCTCTGCAACTTCGCCTACATGGTCCCCCGGATCAAGGTAAGGACAAACGCGATAAGGACCTTTCCTTTCGTTCGATTTCGTTGTCACTTCTGTTAATTTGTCTTTGATCATGATCATGCGGGGAAAGGTCTCCTTCTGATTGGGTTGAATTGTTTTGATCTTTTTGTTTCATCGAAGAATTACTAACGTTGCATTTCGGCTTAATTAGAAATTGTGAAATTCTTAAATCTTCTCAGTTCTAAGATCTGACTTTTGTTTAGCATCAGATTGTCCTTTAATAATAGAAGAAATAAATGAATCAGGCTAAGTTTTCTTGTTCCGCCTGAAATACCAAAATAAGAAGATCTTTGACTTACTGTTTAACGGAAAGTTGAGAGCATCTCTGTTGATTCTTACATTCTGCGCTCAGCTAACCACGTGCCTACGGCTTCTGGAAATGCTAGATATTCTGACTTTTCCACGATTCACTTTGTTTGCCAAAGTTCGGGCCTCTGCTTTCTGGTATTGTCAGCTAATTCTCCTGTTTGTGGTTATAATTCGAAGCTAATTCTTCTAATATCAATTTGAAATTTGGACTTTGTTGTAATATATACTCTTACTCAGGACAGCATGTTTAATTTGTTACTAGCTGTCTAATTTGCATCGTATAGATAGATATTCCTGTGTCCTGGTTCTCATATTTTTGGTTGTTACTTCTTCACCGTCTCAGCCAAGGTATCTCCAGAAGTACAACATGACGTTTGTAACATCGTCAGTTGAAGAGAGGGCAAAACTTCCAAATCCTTGTAACCAGGAGGATCAAAATCCCAGTGACAGGAAGAATGCAAACATAGGCACGCCGTCCAGACATTCAGACGAACAAGAGTCAACATATGGCGCTACCTCTGAACATGAGAGAATGCAGGAGCACCAAAGTGGCCAAGGGATAAATCCATTGGCAGCTTACCGAATTGCTGCATCTGCCGCTTCCTATATGCAATCTCGAGCCATGGAAGTTCTTCCCTTCGGTTCTCAGAATGAGGGTAGGCGAGATCGTACTATCCAGGCCATTGTAAATGCGCAAACTGAAGGTCTGACTATGGACGAGGCTTCGTTTGTGGCCACAACAAATTCAATGACCTCAATGGTTGCTGCAAAGGAGGAAACAAAGCAGGCGGTTGCAGATGACCTGAACTCTTCAAGATCTTGCCCTTGTGAATGGTTCATTTGTGATGAAAATCAAAACAACACAAGATATTTTGTGATTCAGGTAGAGCAAATAATGGCCAGTGTTATATGTGAGGCTCAGAGAAAACTGTTTAGTCATTTTTCCTTTTTTTTTTCAGGTAAAACTAGTACCTGCCATTAGCTTTATAGCCTGATTGGTCGTTGTTCTTTTATTTAAATTTGCAGGGCTCAGAGACAATTGCTTCATGGCAGGCAAATCTTCTGTTTGAACCAATTAAATTTGAGGTATTTTGTAAGTCATCTCAAGTGTTTGAAATTTCTGGTTAAATTGATTTACAGTTTCATGTGTCTCACATTTTACAAGTCATCTCAAGTATATGATGGAGCCTAGAAAATATTTATCAATTGCATCCTGGTCTGCCCGACTATCCAATAATAATGGGTATTAAATGAATACTTCTATAAATTCAGTCTAGTTCTGTGATATTAGATTCTGGTTTGGGAACCTTATACTACACATCCCTTCTCGCTTTTTCACTTCAATAGTAGAAGCCTTCCCGTAATCTTTACGGAAGGGCCCCATAGGTTTAGTGGCTCACATTTATCATCATGCAATGATTTCTCATGACATATGCAGCATATCTTGTGTTAACAGAAGTAACTCTTGCCTTATGTAATTCCATAGTTTCGTTTTTCAAACAGGGTCTTGACGTGCTCGTTCACAGGGGAATATATGAGGCTGCCAAAGGAATATACAGGCAAATGTTGCCATATGTCAAATCTCACTTAAAGAGTCATGGTGAATCTGCAAGGTTACGATTCACTGGGCATTCTCTTGGTGGAAGCCTGGCTTTGCTTGTGAACCTGATGTTCCTAATAAGAGGAGTAGCTCCAGCTGCTTCTTTGTTACCTGTCATAACATTTGGTTCACCATCTGTCATGTGTGGTGGTGATTACTTGCTTCAGAAGCTTGGTTTGCCAAAAAGTCATGTGCAGTCCATTACCTTGCACCGGGACATTGTTCCTCGAGCATTTTCTTGTCACTACCCAGATCATATTGCTAGCATTCTGAAGCTTGTCAATGGAAACTTCCGCAGTCACCCTTGCCTTACGAACCAGGTAAATCCATATATTTGCTAGCCAAATTTCATTGCTCTTATCTGCATCATAGAATCTTTGCTATCTGAATTTCATATTCGATATTTATAGAACCTGGATCATAGAATGTTCATTATCTGAATTCCCTATTTGATAGAAAATTATGCATTGTCATAGAGGCAATTATGGTTGACATGTTGAATACACCAGTACATTATAGCGGTTAACTTTCTCAAGTCAGGGTGGATTGTATTTTTGCAGAGGAAAAATCATTGATCAAGTATAGCCTTTGGGCACCTTTGCTGTGGCTGCATTCTATTTTCCTTAGTTACTGTCATTTATCTGCTGTGACTTCGCTGTTGCAGTTTTGACCTAAAGAGGTATAGTAGGTATAACCCATTTTACTGTGACTTAATTGCAGAAGCTGTTGTATGCTCCTATGGGTGAGGTGTTCATATTACAACCAGATGAGAAGTTGTCCCCCCATCACCACCTTCTTCCAGCAGGCAGTGGCCTGTACCTCATTGGCGGACAGGCAGTGGATTCAGATACTTCACCCACAGTACTGCGATCTGCATTGTCTGCCTTTTTCAACTCCCCGCACCCCCTTGAGATCCTCAGGGACGCTGGTGCCTATGGTCCCAAGGGTACTGTCTACAGAGACCACGACGTGCACTCGTATCTAAGGTCCATACGAGCTGTGCTGCGGAAGGAGATGAGGGCGGAGAAGGAGAGACGACGGCGGCTCCTGCGGTGGCCCATTGAGGTGTATGGTGCGCTCGCCACCATAGACCGGAGGCATGTGCTGAGGCAGCTCCGGAGGCATGCGCACTTGCTGGTCGTTTTCTTGTTGCCGGCAAAGCTGCTCTTCCTGGGCGTCCTGTCAGTCATCCGACCCAACTGACCAGTGTGTTTGTACATTAGATTCATCTTTTTTTTTCTTTAACTCATTCGATTCATTTATTCATGCATGATTATTGTTGTAGCCAACTAGCCAAGGCTGATTTGGCAGAGTTCCCAGGTAAATACAACAAAAGTGCATTGCAGATTGTAAACTTGTTGGCTGAGCATAGTTGAGATGGGCACGAAACTATACATGGCCGGCCAGCTGTTTAACATGGGTTGCTTAGAAGTAGCTGACTGGTTGACGTTACGTATGGGTTTTCCTGGAAAGTATGTTGTCCCAGTCACTCATCTGTATCCTCTGAATTCAAAGCAAGGTAGGCAAGCCACGGATCTTGCCTACCTTGCTTGAAGGCCACGAGCCTGCTACTGCTATCTTGGCACTAACTGGTTGCGTCTCATTCTCGCTTTGTCATCGTCCTCTCTCTTGTCTCTTGGTGGTAAGGCAGGATGTGTACGGGACTGTTTGATGTCATGGTAGCCTAGTCTACCTGGACAAACAATGCCTAGCCGAGCAAGGCTTGGCAAGAAAAGATGGATTTGTTTGCCTGTTTGGTTTGCTTCTTGCCAGGTGGCATTTCATCTTTTTCTTCTCCCAATTTTCTCCTCTTCCGTGGTCAAATAACACAATTGACAACTGCTCTCTCCATTCTTAGGGCTCGTTTGGTGTGGCTCCCACACCGGCTTCTCCACGGGTTCAGGCACCGGAGCCGGCAGAGCCGCGCCAGACGCAGCACCTGTGAGTGAAATTTTTGTATTTTGGTCTCTTTTGAAAACAATTTTTAGAAAAATACCTACGCCAAAACATTTTCTGAAAATAGACCATTTTTAGGCGTCTTAGCACATGACGCCTAGATATGAGGCTCGGCGTCGTGTCACTCAACGCCGAGGTATTGCCACGCCACGCAGACGCACCGGGTCGTCGTCGTCGACCTGGTGGCGTGTGGGTCCGAGATGTCGGCGTCGTGTCGGCCGACGCCAGTGCCCAACCTCGGCGCAGGCCGGATCACACTGGCCGAGAGCTAATGGACCCACCGGAGCGGCCCAACAAAGCACGGTGGCCCGGAAGCTCGGCGTTGGGTCACTTAACGCCGAAAACCTCCAGACCTCGGCGTGGCCCGACTCAACGCCGAGGTCTGGTCCCTTTAGGCCGCCCGAGGCCCCTTCTTCTTCCTCCCTCCATTCTCAAACCGCGCTGCCTCCCTCTCTCTCTCTTCTCCCCACGCCACAAACCCCTAGGCTCCAAAATCGACCCCGGTGCCACGATCTTGTCTCCCAAGCTTCCTCGAGGTAATAGTCCCTCCCCTCCTCCATTCTATCTGCGTAGATGTGCTTACATTGTCCCTAATCATGTGGAATCATGGTTGTATGGTGTTTTGGTATATTTGTGTTTGCATTTGCAAAATGTATGGCTTAGGATGATTGAGTGCATTGTTGTTTAACTGTTTTATGTGATGAACATGTTAGGTTAGTTTGGTTTCTAGTTATTTTGGTCATTAGGGTTCTTTGTTTATTGTAGGTGTCATTAGGGTTAGTTATTTGTTGGTCATTAGGGTTACTATGTATTTTATTTATTTGTTGGTCATTACATTTCAATTCGTTATGTCTAGAAATGATTATGTTGTTGGGGTTGAAAAAGATAAAATGATATATTTTAGTTTCTACTTATTGGATTGCAACTCGCATGATATATTGATATGTGACACTACTTGTTGTGTGATGGTTGTAGATGGATAAATTAGTGAGGTTGCATCATGGAGGCCGTATTGTTAGGACAAGAGATGATAGTTTGGAATTTCTGGACATGTGTGAGGAGTTGTTGATTTTTTCTGAAACACCATCTTTGACCCAGTTAGTGGAGCGAGTCAAGGTTAAGTTAGGCTGGAATGAAGGAGACGTGCATGTTCAGTTTGAAGGTGTCATAGATGTTGGGTCATCGAAGGGTCCTCTGATCAAGCGGTTGCTCAAAATTACAAGCGAGACTGAATGGAATGATTACAAGGTAGTTGTATTGGCCTCAGAAGTGCGATCTTTGGATTTAGTAGTAAGTAAGGAGTCCGGCTTAGGAAATGATAGCTTCGAAGCATGGCCATCTTCCCCCGCTCACATAGGTTATGGTCCTTTGTCTGAAGAAGAAATACTTGTCACACAACTAGGCTACAGTGGAGATGAGGAAGAGAATCCGGTTGCCGATGGTGAGGGCAATCATGATAGTGATGAAGAGGATGATGATTATGTAATTGGTGATGCGAGAAGAAGGTTTGGGCGACGCTTAGCGGAGACTTTTCTATTGAGGATGAGCTTAGCGGCGAAGATGATCTTAGTGGTGAAGAAGACTTTGGTGATGCTAGGGCTACGAACCGTTTTGACATAGAGATAGCTGGAGATGATGAATCCTTCGTAGAGGAGATAGCCGAAGACTCTGATGACGATCGCCCTGTTGGTCGTCTCAATTTTAGGGAAATAGAGATATTGTCTAGGGTCTTGCCTTAGAGAGATCCACTAGTTGGTGATTTCGAGGACCTTAGCCATGGTCATCAGGCAATGAGTGATGGTGGGCCAAGTGATACAAGCTGTGCTTTGATGTTAGCGGTTGCCTCATCATACGGAAGGGCATATTGTTTGCTACCATGGATGAATTGAAATCATGGTTGCAAGAGTACTCCATTGTACACAACCGACCTTTTAGGGTCATCAATTCATTCAAGAAGAAGAGGTACACTGTTGCTTGTGAAGAACAACAACAGTGTGGTTGGAGAGTATGTGCTAGGAAGACGAAAGGCATAAAATGGAAGATTACCTCGGTGAAGCAACCACATGTTTGTGCCATCACTTTGGCGTAAGAGAACCATCTGCAGCTCAATTCTAGGTTCATTGCAAGGCAGTTATGCCCCGTGGTGAAGCATATGCCAATCATTACGGTGTCTGCGTTGGTTGAGATCATCTTCCAACGGTACAATTACTATGTCAAGTATGGGAAAGCATGGAGGGCAAAACAGTGCCTTCGAAATAATATTTGGAAATTGGGAAGAAGCTTATGAGCGCCTCCACCGTAATGTTGAACGCATAATGAGGATCGTAAATCTCGGGATGCACTTCGAGTATTTACCTAAGGAGGGTGAAACAAGGAATGGTAGCCAGGTATTTGGAAGGGCGTTTTGGGCGTTCGGGCAGAGCATCGAAGCATTCAAGCATTGCAGGCCCGTCGTCTCAATTGACGGGACCTTTCTTATAGGGAAATTTGAAGGCACAATGCTTATTTGTATTGGGACGGATCTGAAAGACCAACTTGTGCCATTGGCCTTTGCGATTGTTCGAAAGGAGGACACGGATAGTTGGTGTTGGTTTCTCAGGCTAGTAAGACAAGTGGTAATTGGTCTGGGACGTGATGTTTGTGTGATATCCGATAGGCATGCTGGCATTATGAATGCCATAGAACAAGAGATTCCTGGCTACGACCAAATACATCACCGGTGGTGCACCAGACACCTTGCTCAGAATCTTATAAGGCGTGATCACACAAAGGACAACTTTAAATTATTTGAGGAGGTTTGCGAAAAGAAGAGAGGTTCAATTATTCAAAGACAAGTTAGATGCCCTGAAGTTAGCCACAAATGTTGATGGCAGGCAATTCTTGAGCGAGTTGATGGCGTCAAAGGATAAGTGGTCACTTGCATATGACACGGGTGGTTGGAGATGGGGCTTCATGACTAGTAACATGGCAGAGATGTTCAACAACCTTCTAAGAGGTTGTCGTGAATCCACTTTGTGATCGCTATTGCCTCATTCACCTTCTACAAGTTGAATTCTTGGTTCGTTTTGAGGAAGAAGCATGCGAGGTCTCTATGGATGATGGGCAAAGCTTGGCCACTTTTAGCATCTCAGGAACTAGCTTTCTCAAAGAAAAAGTCTAAACGACAGAAGGGTTCATGTTTCGATCCGATCAACCATGGTTATGAGATTCTAGAGGGTGGTGAAACTAACATTGGTGGTGAAGACCGGGGTGCTCGAAAACATAAAGTAGTGATCAATGAGAACAAGTGTACGTGTGGAAAACCAATCATATACCATAGGCCTTGCTCCCACATGATTACAGCCTGTTGCCTTAGACGTGTTGACGCTGAGGTCCCTCCCCGTATGGCCACAGAGTTCTCTTTGAGGAACCTGATGAGCACCTGGAATCCTCAGTTCAAGCCATTTCTTGACGAGAGTCAATGGCCTACTTATGATGGCCCCAAGTATGTGGCTGATCTTGGTTTACTCTGGAAGAGTAGAGGACCTAGGCGGCGGAAGCGGTTCAGGATGGACATGGACCGAGCCACGAAAGGTAGATCAACCACGAGTAAGGTTGGGAGACATTTTGTAGAGGACACCCAAAAGAGCCGTTGCTCTGGTTGCCATAAGCCAGGCCACAATAAGAGAAAATGTCCTGAACTACTTAGACAACAGGTATCCACCAAGCTAGCTACTAGAATTGCTTTGTGTAATAGTACATTGGTTTACTTTTGTTTTTTTTATTTTTATGTTACTTCGTACCACATACACATGCTTTAACTTATACTAATCTTTGGCATTGCTTATGTTGCAGGATGGATCGGTTCCCCCTTCTTGATCCAAGGTTCGATGAGCACCACCGGGCTCGGAGGATCGAGAACGGAGAGGTATATTCAACAATTCGTATGAAACATTGCATTGTTCATGTTTTGCTCTATAGTCCATGCTCTTTATAAAGTGACATGAACTAATACTTTTTCATGCTTGTCTTTTTTTTGCAGGTTTTGAATGTGCTGAGGCCAATGACACATGAGGCCTCTACGACCATGGTCTACGACGAGAGGTACATGCCCCTCCTGAAGCTGGCGAACCTTGCTACCGTTGCTCGTGTTTGTCGTCGAGGCACGCCACCTTTCAACCCAGCGATGCTGATGGCGTTGATAGATCGGTGGCGTCCGGAGACACACAGCTTTCACCTACCATGCGAGGAGATGACGGTCACTCTCGAGGACGTTGCCATGATCCTTGGAGTCAAAATCCGAGGATTCCTAGTGACAGGAGACACGGAGTTCGAAGGATGGCAGCAGCGGGTTGAGCACTTCTTGGGATGGCCCCTAGCGGCAGTTGAGGCTGGCAAGAAACGGCGCAACAGTGGGGTGTCCCTGAGGTGGCTTCGTCAGCAGTTTCGGGAGTGCCCACCCAACGTAGACACCGAGACCGTGACATACTACTGTTGGGGCTATGTCCTCCACATGTTTGGTACGGTTCTCTTCCCTGACGGCACTAGAGACACGGCGTCCTGGATGTACATCCTGTGCCTTTTGAACTGGGAGGATGCCGGCAATAGGAGTTGGGGCTCGGCTATACTTGCCTTCCTGTACCGTCAGCTTTGCGAGGCTTGCCGTCGTCCTGGAGGCGCGCACGCTACAATGTCAGGGTGCATCACACTATTGCAGGTAATAAAGCAAAGTTGTACAAGTTTCCACTACAATTCAATGTTTTTTCTTAACAAAAGTGATTAACATTCGTGTTTGCACTCTTTTTTGCAGATTTGGATGTGGGAGAGGCTTCCAGTTGGGAGACCGCATCAGCTTGATCCCCCACAACCTTGGTTTCCTCAAGGAGACGCAGTTGTCGCCCCTACCGTGGCACACCTCTACGAGCGAGCCCACGGAACATACCACGTGTCACGCCACGTGTACATCAGCTTCACCAACGAGCTGGACACCCTTTTGCCACAGCATCTAAGTTTCCCACCCTTTTGGCCTAATCGAGGATATGTGCACAAATTGAGCGTCGACTAGTTGATGACGACGTTGTGTACAGGTTCAATGGTGCCCATATCAGCGGAGGCAAGTCACGGATCTCAACTTGAGCGCCTTGTGCATGGTAGACAAGGACGTCTGGACGATGAGGACCCCCCTTATTTGTTTCTATGCAGTGGAGTACCATCTCCCTCACCATGTAGCATGGCAGTTTGGTAGGCTGCAGCCTTCTTCGCTCGATGATTTCTCCACCGGTTGGCAGCTCTACAAGTACATAACATGCAATATTTTGTTCGTTTCACATGAATGAATCATTTAGTAGGCCTTCATATTACCGATTTGGTGTAAAATTTGCAGGTTCAACAGACAAAAAAATAAGAAGATCACCAACTGGCAGCTGGAGCACCAGCGCTACATTGATGAGTGAATGTTGATGGAGCGGAACAACATGGGCATCCACGCCGTCCATCGTGACAAGGCATTCGATGATTACCTTGTTTGGTTTGGTCAACGAACAAGGCTTCAATTGAGGCCCGCTTGGACGGAGCAAGACATTGCTGACATTGCGAGCGAGGATGAGGGCAACAACCCATATGACCAAGCTACCCGAGAAGGCAGGAAAGTTGAGATCGCCCCTGCGTTAGCCAGAGCTGTAAGTGATACAACTATTTCCATCTCTAAGGTCTTTACTGTGATGGAGACTTAAATTCTTGTTTTTGTTGCATAGAGCACGGAGATAATGAGGACAGTGGCCGAGCAAGGAAGGGCATTGATGATTCCTGTGGGCGATCCTGATGAGGCCTCCATGTTACGACAGCACATTCAGGTAGTCTCCTCTCATTCAGTTGATGTTACATCTTTATATAGTTTTGCGACCAACCCCACTTACTAATAGTGCTTTCAAAATGCAGCGTGCCATGCATCGCCTCCGAAAGGTAGCTGCACGCCTTGGATGTAGACGTTCCTCGGATGTGGCAGTCCCACAACAGCTTGGTGCTGGACCTTCTATTGCACATGTTGGAGGGACTTCATCTTCACATGGTGCACATGGTGGCAGGACTTCTTCACATGGTGCAGCAACTAGTGCAGAGGGTGGTCAAGGACATGGTCATTATGATGATGAAGATGATGAAGGACAGGGAGAGTACTATGATCATGAGTATGATGAGATTGGCATGTCCCAGCTTGGAGATGCACCCCAAGGAACTCAAGGCCCCTCCGGTTCTGGACGTCCACAGAGGACGCTCAGACCAGTGGACAGGTACACTCCAGGTACCTATCCGTTTGGGAGGGGAAAGCGTTACGCTCGCCATCCACGTTAAGGTACAAGGAGCAATAAAAGATCCAAAGACTTCATATGCTATATTTTGTGCATGGACTATGTATGCATTGGACCTTGTACTATGTTTGGACTATGTTTGTTGATTGATGAAGCATATGTATGGACTATGTTGGATGTTGAATGTGTTGGACTATGTTGGATGTTGAATGTGTTGGACCTTATGTATGTACGGATGTTGAATGAATGTGTATGTCGGTGTGGTCATGTGTTATGTGAATGTGTGGAACGTCGCCATGTTTCATGTTTCCAGCTATTAAGAGAGGGCCTCCGTCGCAACTCACAAGGAAGAAGGGGTGTCATCATCCCCATCCTCCATGTTACGATCAACCTCTGTTGGATCCACGGTGACATGGCAAGCACGCAAAGGGGACGAAGCGGCTTAGGAGAGTCGGGGAGCTAGCGAGCTCAGGTCCGTTGTTGGCACAAGGTCATCGTCGGCTGATTAGAGTAGTGGGCAATAGTGAAGCATCAAAGAAGAGATGATATATTTTGGTGAACCCAGGAGCTCGCCGTTTAGTCATTTCACGCCGACCCCTGGTACATACTGGAAACCCTTGCATCGAAGCGCCGAGGTGCCCAAGCTCGGCGTTTAGTCATTTGACGCCAACCCCTGGTACATACTGGAAACCCTTGCATCGAAGCGCCGAGGTGCGCAAGCTCGGCGTTCGGTAAATTGACGCCGAGCCATTAACCTCGGCGTGGGATGACTAAGCGCCGAGGTTCAGCCCAAACCTAGCCACGGCCGTTGCCAAACCCTAGGGTTGGCGTGGGCCGACTCGACGCCGAGCCTCAGCCCAACTCGCAAACGGCCGAGCCAAACCCTAGGGTCGGCGTGGGCCAACTCAACGCCGAGCCTCAGCCATTTTGGTATATGTTGCAATCCTATTTGCATGATTCAAATGAAAAATCTTTCTCAACGATTCATCTTCGACTAACACGAGTTATACTAATAAGAGTAGACATGCTATATTTATGTTTGTATGTTTGTTCCTGCAGGAAAAACCGAATGTTGGTTCGATTTCAATCCCCTATTTTTAGAGAGACTCAAATCTTTTTTTCAGTTTGGGAATCAACCATAGTACATGAAACTTAGAGGTAGGTAAACTGCAATTTATGAAATAGCGAATGCACAACGATTACACTCGCATCAAAACTAACAATGGCATGTCACAAACTAAACCTAGCATGCCTTAGGGGATTGAAAGAAACAAGTGATACAGACATTGCAAAGGGTACACACTCACATGAAAACTAACAATGGCATGTTGCAAACTAAACCTAGCATGCCTTACGAGATTGAAAAGAACAACTCATACAAGCATTCCACATTCGGATTGACTAACAAAGGTTGGTCCTAATAATGCTCCCACATATTGAACTGAGTTGCGCCTTCCCCATAGTATCCTCCAGTTGACGGAGGCGGTGGTGGTGGCGGTGGCGGTGGAGAAGGAGGCCCGTCCTTCTTATGGTACGGGCACTCGCAGTACGGATTATTGCATAGTGCCTCCTCTACATCATTGCTGTTGTCGTCGTCCGACTTGTCCCTGTTACCACTTCTAGGGCCATACTCTAGGTCAAAGATGCGTCCCTGTAGATATGTGATGTACTGTTGATGGGGATAGATAGGAGGAGGGTCCACCCATCTAGTGAAGCCACAGTTATCTGGACAGCTTGAATCCTGAAAACCCATCTACCAATAAGTACTACTAGAAATCAAATGCAAATCTAAAAAAGGAGAGAGTTCAAAGGCAATACAAATCCTCGCGGGCATCTGAAGAAATGATGGCCTCCACCGTCACAGACGTTGTACATCTGCACAACACAATCCAAACCGTGGCCGCATTTTGGCCAATCTTCAATGCGCTTCTCGTATGATCTAAGAGGTCTCTCACGGGTGAAGTCACTCTTCCTCTCCAAAGGAAATTCCTCTATTGGTTCTTCAAAAGAATCAGGACCCAGAGAACCCTCCCACACAATCGGAGGTCCCTTCCTCACCCCCTTTCCTCTCCCTCCGTCGAAACCCTTTCCACTCGAGGAACCTCCGCTCGACATTTGCTAAAACTAAACCAGAAAACAAGTTGTGTGGATGTGGAGCAAGACATGGAGCACTATATATAGAGATGAAGGTAGGTTCACCATGAATGCTACTTGACAAAAAACATGTGTGCGTACTCATTTATTGAATCTGCAAATGCTAGATGCTTCATCTGAAAAGCCTACAACCATGACTGGTCATTTCATCTGAAAAGGCTACACCTGTGTTTTGTCACTTATTCTAAATGCAGTACATCACTCTGATATTAATTCATTGCGTATACGGATACAACAGTAAACGAATCTAGGCTTTTTAGTGAGTTTTCTAATAGACTTGTAGCCCTTTCAGTGACTGCAACAGTACTTGTAGCCCTTTCAGTACTTGCAACAGTACTGCGTGGGGGAACGGAGGAGGGGAGAGAAGAAGAAGAAGGGGGCCTCGGCCTAAAGGGACCAGACCTCGGCGTTGAGTGGGGCCACGCCGAGGTCTGGAGGCTCGGCGTTAAGTGACCCAACGCCGAGATTCTGGGCCACCGTGCTTTGTTGGGCCGCTCCGGGTGGTTCCATTAGCTCGGCGCGCAGTCCAGCCGCGCCGAGGTTGGGCACTTGACGTCGGCTGACACGACGCCGACATCTCGGACCCACGCGCCACCGTGTCGACGACGACCCCGGTCGTCCGTGACGTGGCAATACCTCGGCGTTGAGTGACACGACGCCGAGCCTCATATCTAGGCGTCATGTGCTAAGACGTCTAAAAATGGTCTATTTTCAGAAAATGTTTTGGCGTAGGTATTTTTCTAAAAATTGTTTTCAAAAGAGACCAAAATACAAAAATTTCACCACCTGTGAGAAGCACTTCTGGCGCTAGATGGGAGGAGCAAGAGCCTTTTACGCGAGAGGAGCCGTAGCCCAGAAAAGTAGCTTTGTCTTGGAGGCTTCGACTCCGACAGAGCAGCCGCGCGGGCGAAGTCCTCCCAAACGAGCCCTAAAATATAAAATGTCTAAGAGTTTATAGAAGAATGTACTCCTGTATTGTTAACATTCATAATACTAAATAAATATACTGTAAGAATGTCTAAGGACCTATTAGATGCATTTTGATTAGCTAATTGTTACTCCGTAGTTAGCTAATTTTTAGCCCTAGCCCATGGGCTAATAAGCTTTCAATTGGTTGTTAGCTAACTAGCTGACCAATCTCTGCTAATTTGGGCTATTTTTTAGCCTCGGCTAATGACTAGCCCTAACTAATCCAAAGATATGCTCTAAATCTAATTCCAAGAAAAAAGCGATTATCATTTTTTTTTGAGTTACAGTAGTACAACGTAGACGCCCACAACACACACGCACACTCATCCCTACGAACACACGTACATAAACCCTACCCCTATGAGCACTTTCGAAGGGAGATTTATGAAGTCACCATAGGCGCATCGCTGTCGACGGAGACGTCGTCTACCACCGAAAGCATAACACCGTTAAATCCTAAAATAAATTCAGAAAAATACGAGTACCCATACCAAGTCGAGGACTTGAATCCGGGTAGACAGGTTCCATCACAAGAACCCAACTAACTAATCTATGATTAGTTCGCCGATTACCGTATTTGTATATGTATATACCAACAAACATGCTCATGAGAAAAAGAGACAACAAACGTCCATGTAGAATGGAAACGGGCCAGGCAATGCTCCCCCAACATGTTTATGTTTCCCCTTTTTATAAACTTTATTAAAGCTTATTCCATATGTAATATTTAATGATAAATATGACATCCATAATCTAAGTTAGTATTGACAATAATATAATGTCGTATTGAGTCTACACGAATGTATTGCTTATAAAATATGTATGTGCGTTGCAGCAGAATATAAAACACGTTGTGAGATTTATTCAATGATCACATCAATCAACGTGTGTTCCATTTGTCTTAAAATTAGACTCCGTACCGTACCTAGAAACTTTTCCTATTTTCCTTTTTTTTTCTTTGAGAACAGCCGGAGCTTCATTCATTGATCGTGAACATGGTTACAATCGTTTTCCCCATAGGCCCGGTGATGGTAAAAGCCACTCCACCGGATGTGAACGGGATACAAGCTTTGCATATTCATGAGCTAAACTATTACAAGATCTACTAGAGAATATCAACGAGAAATCATCTACTCCGGCTAAAGTCTTCAATCTGCTGTAGGAGAGGGCCGACTTCAGATAGGTGCCGACGTTGCTCCCACAGGTTCACAAGCACCTGGCAGTCAGTCTCCAAGACCAGAGGCTGCACTCCTCGGTCTAGGGCGTACGCCGTCGCTTCCGAGGACAAAGCATTGAGGCAATGGTCATACCACCGCTCTCTACCCCCGCAAACTCGCCCCCCTTCATCTCTGAGAACCATTCCAGTTGCTCCCCGTCCTTCCTCCGCAATAAAAGAGGCGTCGACATTGCATTTGGTCCAGCCCGGCGGTGGACGTTTCCAATGTTGCAGCTGTCACTACTGCATTCAGGCGCTTTGTCGAGTGTCTAATGCACTCGGCAAAGGCTACTTTGTCCTCGGCAAAGCCTTTGTCGAGGGCAGCACTCAGCAAAGAGTCTCCGGTAAAAAATCCGTCGGTAAAGAATTCTTTGCCGAGCGTCTTTTATCGGGCACTCGGCAAAGTCTTTGCCGAGTGCAATCTCGTCACTCGGCAAAGAAAAGTGACCATCACGGCGCCGGTTGCGTTAGCACATGTTTTGCCGAGTGCCATGTCAGAGGCGCTCGGCAAAGATTTTTTAATTTTTTTTTTCAAAATTTCTTTGCCGAGTGCCCTGGCCCTAGCACTCGGCAAAGAGGCTAATTTTTTTATTCTATATTCACAAACACAGCATATAAGAGATATATATAACATCTGTGACATCACAAACACAATATAGCATATATATATATATCACATCCATCTCATCACAAAGGCAATACCA